CAGAAACCACTGGAAAAAGGAACTTGAACTTGAACTTTGAAGTCTGAGCCCCTGTTGAAGAAATAACTGGGCTCACCAACTTCAAGGCAGCAAGAGAAAGAAGGACAAATTTGTTTGGATAGTTGTATCAGCTCCGCTTCATTGACTACATTCTCCTGAACAATGGTGTTCTGATAGGTTCTAAAATGCCAGATATCACTGTTAATAATTAGTCATATCTTCAAGAAGAATCCATATTTGCCATGTTTCCAGGAGGTAAATCAATGCCTGTGATTTAGATTCCAAAACAGGCTAGATCAGTGGTTTTCAAACTTTTACATTGTGACCCACCTCCTCTACCTCCACATGTGGATGTTGCACACATGCACACAACATAGCATATGAATAAAAATAATTTGTGGTGTTGTTGTCGCACCTCCTTGCTTTCCAACCACAGCTTCAGAAAGGTGGGGATACCTTTGTGCCAAGCCCTGAGATTTCTCCCTTTGAATGTAGCTGATCTAACCATTACACTGGGTGTAGAGCTATACATTTTAATGAGATTTACCCCAGACTAAGTGGATTTAGACTGCAGAAACTCTTAGCAGCACATACATGCCAGCCTGCTTCCCAGGTGGTAGTTATAAAATGCACAAATGTCTGCCATTGGTCTGGAGAGCAAACAAAAAAAGAAGGTGGCTCTGCCCCTTCACTTTTTGCAGAAAAGCCAGCTGCAAGATCTGAGTTGAAACTGTCATGGGTGTGTCTCTTCATCTGTGTCTGTGGGCCTTTGCAGACTGTCAGAAATAGTGCACATTAAATTGAGGCACTGCCCTGGCTCAGTGCTAGGGAATCATGGGAACTGTAATTTATTGTGGCACCAGAGCTCTCTGACAGAGAAGGCTCAGTGTCTCAGAAAAAAAAATCCCCATGATTCCCTAGCACTGAGCCAGGGCATTGCCTCAATTTAATGTGCACTATTTCTGTCAGTCTGTAAAGGTCCTAAGTCCTCAATCTCATCTTTGCTCCATGAGACACTCCCTCCCTCTCATTCTGAGGGGGTTGACAACAATGTCCACCATTTCTGGCAAATATGATTAGGTTCCTCAAAAAACTAGGTAGGAGGAAACACTGCACAGGTGCAAAATACTGAACAAGTGAAAAATCTCTGAACGTATGTGGAGCTTTGCACTGTTTCAGAGTATAAACAAACAAAACCTAGTGCTTTCTGGCTGCGGATCTCTCCAAGAGGGAGTGACTCTGCACATCATGGGAATGATTAGTTGACCCTGCCTAGGAAAGATCCTAATCTGGGAGCTGACCTTCTCCAGGTCCCTCTACCTTGGATTCATCCCGAATCCAAAGTGAGTAGAGAGACCATGGGAAAAGACCTAAAAAATTGAACTGATTCCTTAAAAAACAAAAATCCCAAAGCAGATTAACATTTAGTTACATTTCTGAAAAAAATATGTTCCATGTGAGGTTTTAACTCATATTTAAATGGCATTATCTGCCCTGTATGGATCCACCCTAGACTTTCTGAACACACTTGTCCCTCCACAGTTGTGGCTTTGACTTTTGCGGATTTGATTATTCATGGATTTTATTGATATGTTCTCTCTTGGAATAGCTAGGTCTCCAGCGCAACTCTATGCTCAACTTTAACCAAAGGTCTCAATGAAGAACCTAGATTAGGGGTAGGCAACCTAAGGCCTGGGGGCTGGATGCGGCCCCCTGAGGC